GATGTGGCACATGGGGACATGGTTTATTGGTGGACGTGGCAGTGCTGGGTTAATGATTGGACTTTACAATCCTAAAGGTATGTCCAACCTAAACAATTCCATGATTCTCTGAAGCCTCAAAATGGGACACAGAGCTTCATCTTCTTGAGGTCACACATAATCACCTGGTGTTACATTAAATTGTCTTCAGTAAAAAATACTTAGTTTTGAGACCAGATACCTAATAAGAAGAAAATTGATTGTCATTTAATGTGCAGATGGACATTTTCTGGTTTAGGCAGCTTGTGATGATTCAGTCATGCTGTTTAACCCTTGTGCAGTGATCCTAAGTCACTAAATTACAGTGCTCTGATGGGCTCCTTAATGTAATTACCTCCCCAAGATGTGCTAACTGCATAAAGCACATCCCTGTGCTGACTTATGGAAACAAATTGTGTGTTTTTCCTCTTTGTGTGTGTTAGAATGAGAAGCTGAGGTGTTAACATTAATAGCATGTGAGGTATTACATTGAAAGATTGAAGTATAAGCCTGTATCTACTTCTTTTATTTAGTTGCCTATGAAAGAGTAGCAGGATGCTCTATTTGGAATATATTTACAGGACTATATCTAAATTCAGAATATTCTCTGGTAATTTTATAGTTGCGTAGTTTTTATCTGGAAAAGATAAAAAATTGGACATTTTAATGCATATTTAATAACAAAACAGCCTTCCTGCCTCAGAAAAAAAATTCATCCAGGTGAACTATGATCTAATTTTCTTGTATAACGAAAACAAAATCGTAGCTCCTGCAGCATTATTCTTGGCTCCCAGCAGTTCCAAGGCATGCAAACATTACCACTCCAACTCTGTCCTGCAGTTTAACTGGAAGGATTATGTCACAACACAGTATGTTTGTTTTCCAGCTTTTTGTCTGTTTGTCCATCAAGACAGTTTTGTAGAAGAAGTATCGGTGATTGTTGACTTTGGAGGTAGTGGAAGAAAAAATAATTACGGAAAGAAAAAGCAGCAGACAGTCCCATTGAAGTAACTGTGCTTCTGTCACAGGAGAATGAATACTCCTTTCAACAAATCTATAATTTGCAGAAGTTGCAAAAAGAAAATAGCCGTAAGGTGACTGTTAACATACTTCAGTTCATCCTGCCAAGAAAGTTAACTTCATAAAGTCATTAAACCCGTGATTACATTTTAAAATATTATTCCCCAGCCATTTCTTCTTAGACTTTAAAATATAGTTACTGTATATACTGCTTTCTTTGTAATGTGAAAAATTGTAAAATACACTTATTTTTCATAAACTCCTAATTATTAACAGAGCTATTTGCGCTCCTATAGTTAAAATCATATCAACACTTCCGTTATTTAAACTTCACTTTTAGAGGTTCATAATTCGGCTGTAATAAAAAATATATTCAGACTCTGAGGTCTCAAATATTGTTTGCTAGTGCTAGGAAATTTAGCCTGGTTTTCTTTAAAAAGCTGAGTAATTTGGATTGTTTGCTGTTCTTCAATATCATCCCAAACAAAATATTTTGTAATGTGGGCTTAATAGTTTAAAAATTAAAAAAATCAGGAGAAGACAAGTGAGTATGTTGGAACTGCTGCTGCCCCAGATTCTGTGACTGGCACTGAGTATCCCTGAGGCTTGGAGAAGGGAGGTGGTGGGAAATTCTTGCCATATCTCCCCCGTTGCCATAAAGGAACCTCATCTGGGAAAAGTTATTGCGACATTTATATCCCAGCCTTCATCTGGAGTCACGGGCAGTGCTGCTCACAGAGACTGCAGCGAAGGGTGAGAGACCTCCTGACTTCAGGGCTGCAGAGCTGAGAGCAGCTTTTCTGGGATGACAAATGCCTGGGTGCTCCGGGATGGATCGTTCCTTTGGTACGGCTTCCTGAAATGCCCCTTCATCCCCGACTGCGGTAATGAGTCCACGAGGCCTTCCGCTCTGGAAATTAGGGAATCGGGGCTTATTGCATATTAATGGCAACTCTGGGACAGTCAAATAAGACAGTTTGTTATAATGCTAATTATAGCAGAGCACTCATGTTGTGGTTTGAGTGAGTCAATTACGTGTGTGTTAAACTATAAATACATCCTCCCCCCAACCTTGGCTGCGTGGGACGTAATTTCTGTTTAATTTCTTGGATACATATTTACCTGAGCATATCCCAGTTTCCCAGGTAAATATGTGTACCAATGCAGAACTCATTATGGTCTGTTTGGATAAATAATCCATATTTTATAACTGCACAGGAAGTAATTATTTTCATATTTTGCTTTCTTTAAGCCAAAGAAATTAAATGCTGTGTGTCCGTTCCTTAAAATAAAATAGATGCAAAAGTTGGGGCAATGCGAGAATAAAGTTTTCATTGTTTTGGTAGAAGCTGAGAATATTATTCCAGATTTTGATCTTGTGTTTATCCCAGAATAACTCCATTAAAGTAAACAGTGTTATTCAGGATTTACTTAGATGCAAATGGGACGTGAATTTGGCCTCTGCTCCTTGCTCTCCCTTCCTTCATCATGAGGCTCCTGTAAGCAACTCACACACAATCTGTGTTATAAATGTCTTTGTCACGTGTTTATCATTTGGAAAAATAATGTATTTCAGCTACAGAAATTAACATATCTGAATTTTATGGTAAGAAATTTAATGCCTTGGAGAGTCACAGAATGGTTTGGGTTTGAAGGGACCAAGAGATGGTCCTGTAAATTTTAGGGAACTAGAGCAAACTTTCACATCCGATATTTCTGCCATTGTTTTATGTGATGTTTGGGAAAGCTGTGTTGTGTTATCACCATGCTAAGGTCAGGTTTTCTAGCACTTTTAAGCTCAGTGGGGCCAAAGTCAGCCCTGGCATAAATCCATTAGCTGCAATAGATTTACACCAGAGAGGAATATTGGCTCGTACTTGGTAAATTTTTTTTTTTATCCAGCTCTTCATATTTTATGTTAGAAATATAAGTAGCTTGCATGCCCTCAAACTAATCAGAATAAGAAACAGTTTTGCTTATGCCAAAAAATAGAACTATCGTTTTTCACATTCTTACATTTTTCAAGTAAGATTGTATTACTGTGACTTCTGAATTCCTGAAATCTCTCTGGTCTCGGTGACTGCAAAGGCCAAGAGGGAGTTCCAAGGGGAAACTCTGAACCTCTTCACGCGGTATGTTTTGTGTTGTGAGTATGAGATACAGTTAACGTTTTGTGTGCGCGTGATTAGTGTGGAAAAAAATTAATGCAGTCCAGTATTATGATTTATGGACTGAATCTTTTGCCCACTGAACACTTGCCAAAGTGAAAATCTTTCCCCCCCGCCCGCCTCCTTCTTTGGATATTAGAAACAGCTACTGTTTTTGTTGATCTTTTTAACTTCTGAATAGGCCTATTTCAAGTCATAGCAGCATGGGAGCTCAGATTAATAATATACTTATTCAGCCAGTGATACTGAGTGAAACCATTGCTAGTGTGAGCATGAAGGATACGATTTCTTTAAATTATTTTCAGGTGCATTAATGCATTTCCAAAGAAGAATATATAGATGTTTAAACATAAATTACTGTTTATTGATCATGTTACAGGTGTGTATGAATTTTAATATCATGAATTTTTAAAGGTGTCTCTTCTTTTGATAACTTTTGTACTATGCTTATGGTCAGTTTTCCATCACAGGGCAAACAAGGGTGAGAGAAAAAAAAAACCCTATGATTAAATCTTGCTTGTTGGACAATGTCTTTTAATTTTGAGGATAAAGTATATTCCATGCCAGGAAGCATCCTTTCCATCCCACCGTATCTGCAGCATCATGGTTTACACTTAAACACGTTGTCCAGAGAGGTGGAAGATGCCCCATCCCTGGAAACATTCCAGGTTCAGACTGGACAGGGCTCTGAGCAACCTGATCTAGTTGAAGGTGTCCCTGTCCCATTCCTCACTGAACTAGAGGAACTTCAAAGATTCCTTCCAACCCAAACCATTGTATAGTTCCACGATCATCTTGGGAATGGGAGCAAATTGCATTGACTTCTTTCATACTTTGGGGTTGAACCTCTTCAGCCCAGCAGTTTGATAAACATCAGGTTGCACGAATCTCCAACCAAGGCTACAAGGTTTCTGACCCTGTTCTAGTTTTGATATGATCCATTTGTGTACAAAACAGCCTGATTTCCTGCACCTACTGAAGGCTGATGGGATTAGTCCCTTTGAAAGGGATTTCTGCTCTTTCCAGCGCAATTTGAGATGTTTAGGGCCTTAAGAGGCAATGAAGTTGAGGACAGTCCATTGCTTCCCACTCCTTTGGCCACCTCTTACCAATTTTTCTGGCATTCCTTGCTCAATCCCATCATTATCACTTTCATAGCTGAAAGGCCTGGTCTGCTCAATAAGGTTTTTCAATTCCTTCATTAATAGAGTTGTTTTTTCCTATCAATTCATTTTCTTTCTCCCAAATGAAATAAGAGCATGGCTAAAAAAGCTCTTCATGTGAGTCTGGTTTGTGCTAATGCTAAGTCAAGGAGGGGTAGAGTTTCTTTCAAAAAATACTTAGGTAAGCTGTTTAAAATTAATATTTGTTATTCTAAAAAATTGGGAGAGGGATCAGCCACCCTTCCATAGTTGCAGATAAAGTGCTATGGCAAGAATTTGGCATTTTTACATTGCCTGAGAGAATTGTATGTTCATTTTCTGCGCTAAGGAAAGAAAAAAAAAAGGGCTGCAGTGCTTTTTAAAAGCAATCATTTTAAATATAAACAAAAAAGCTTTTGCTTGAGATTTGTCAAAAGTCTTTCAGGCTTTTCATGAAATTGTTTTTCACTTCTTGGCAAACAAGAGCCGGGTGAGTGACACCTTTGAGAGTCCCAGCTTGTGTTTCAGTGCACAGCCTGTATTTTGCTAGTCAGAACCGTGCAAAATATTATCTGAATTTATTTAAGACAAACCCCAGTGAATAAAGTTTTGAACACTGAAAAGGCCATCTTAATTTATTCATTTATTTTAGTTGCAGCAAGCAGCTGAAGTTTCTCAGATGAGAGGAGCTCGAGTCATCTCTGCTGAAGATCTTCTGTTCTTAATGCGCAAAGATAAGGTACAGTAACAAGACGGAAGTTTTTATTTACATAATCAGCTGCTTATTTTGTTTTCAAGTGTTTGCCTAACCTATACACAAGGAGGCCATCATCATGGATAGCTTTATTTAAAAGTATAGCTGCTCTAGAATTAAATCTTATCGTGCGCAGTGCAGTCATTCTATAATATTTTCATTAATTTTTGTCTTTTCCTGTAACTTCAATTATCAATAGATTTTTCTTCACAAAGCTCTAGAGTGGGTAGTGCACCTTAGAGCTCAAAACAATTTCTTAATTAGGTAAAAATATTGATCCTGATCCTTTATATTCCTTTTATTAAAAATCAATAATTCTAATTTCCCCCTTGGGTGTAGGTGTGACATTTGACAGTGTGACCATTATAGTTCTGTCATTTAGACTGTAAATTATCTTTATTTTCTTTTATAATATTTTTTCCTGTACTGTATCCCTCTAAAATATCCAAATTTAGGGATGGCCTTGCTTTCTGTGGGTAGTAAGTAACAGGTCGATAAAAAAAAATTACTTATCTTTCCTAACATTTCAAAATTCTTCAAAAATTATTGTCAGCTATTTTTATCTACATTATTTATTCTTCCTATATCTCCTTTTCTTCCTTAGTTCCTCACTTTCCCTCGCCTTTTTCTCTCCCCTTTGTTTTTCTTTCCTCATTAGATGGGTGAAACCTGATGACCAAAACTATTTCAAAACTAAAAACCACTAACACGTGAAAACCAATTGCAGTTTCTTTATCTGATATGAGCCATAAGTCGGTACTGAAAAGAGCTGTTGATATGGATGTCAAAGTTCATGGAAATGTGCATTTCCAGGCTTGAATTTCCAAACTTGAGTAAAGATTTTGGAGAGCCCTAAAAGAAGCCTTATCGCTGAATTTCTGTCTCACAGCAAAGTACCAAGGAATTCAAATAAATAAATAATATTCAATGTTTAATTGCTATTTACTTTGAGGTACTTTCTATGTATGGATTTTCTGCAGAAACAAAAATTATGAACATTCTAGCAATTATATTTACTGACTAATATATTGCACATTACAGTTAGTTTAAATAAAAAAAATACTCATTAATGTAAATGTATTTTTTTTCCTCTCAGAAGAAGCTCAGAAGGCTGCTTAAATACATGTTTTTTCGAGACTACAAATCTAAAATTGTCAAAGGAATAGAAGAAGAAGATCTCCTCGAAGGTAGAAAAAAGAAATTACTGAATTTGGGAGAGGCTTGATGTTTTATAAATGTCCTGAACAGCTCAGTGCAAAGTAGTGCTAACTTGCTTAATAGTTAGAGATACAAAACAAGTGTCTTTAGAGGAATTTGTTTGAAAATCTCTGCTTTTCCATTTGAAATGCTTCTAAAGTGGTCATCTACCACCTGCAATTGAATAGACATTTGTTAAATTATTGTCAAAAGATTTTGGCATATTTAAAAAAAATCCTATAATCTGAAGTCATTGAATACTAATAAATTACCTGGGTCTTTTTTTTTTTTTATTGTGGTTTAACATTTTATACTTTGAATCTGTAATTTAAAGAATGGGAAACACTTTTGTTTCCCCATTCCATGAGCAAGTCACTGATTTTATAACCAATGCATTTAAGGAAAAAGCTCTTTGAATTAAAAATATATTAATTTATGCCATATGATTTGCTGTTATAAGGTTTTGTTGATTTATATTGACATTAGATTTAACATTTCCGTTGTAAAAAGTCAAGTTAAAACTTATCATAGCAAATCTAAACCTTGCCACGCTGTTACAACATCTAACAATGTCCATACACAATTTTTTGTATTTAACTTATTTCCTTTCTCAGAGCCCTTTATTATTTTTTCCCCTACAATGAATTCCTTATATTTGGTTCCTCTGAGCATCCACACTGATTTTAGATAAACATTGTGCGTCTTGCTTTGACTTAATCAAGCTGTGGATAATTTTTTATCAACTCATTTGAGATTTAATTTGCCTGTGACATTTTATTTTCACCACACATGAAGAGGTATCGTTTCATGCAAGCAGTGTGGCAGTATCACTTCTTACCTGACAGCTTTGGGTTTTAATACTTAAGCTTGTGGCAGTACTTAAAACAAATAAACAGTTTTCCTAAGTTGTTTGAATGCTCATGAAATGCTTCCTAAACACAGTTTATCCTGAAATTAAAGTTGCGTTTTCCGTCAGGCTTTGGTAATTGAAGCCATTAATTTTATTTTGTGAATTTAATGCTTTTGTAGCTGCTCTTTTGTTTGGAACAACAGTAATCACAGAGATCACCCTGCCAGGGTTTTCTAGGTTTTCCTGCAGAGCAGTGGTCCATCACTGCATCCTAACGTGTGTGTTAGGGTTTGCTTTAAGCTGTAGGTAAATGAGCATGTTCTGCGTGTATTCAGGGAAGAGCATTTCCTCTATATATTCTGCCTATGAGTGAGGGTTTTTTGTGCCTCTGTGGATTCTTCAGTGAGCAGTAACGGTGTATGAGCAGCGGGTTTCTCTAGATCATGAAAAAGCCAGGTTATACCAGAAAACACTATAAAGGTAATTTTTTACTATCACTGCAGAGTAGTGACCTAGGTCAGGTAGTACAACTTGTTTGAGGGTACAGTAGGAACAGACCCTTTTCTGCATTGTGCTGATTCTAAAATATCAGTTGATATTTGGAGAAGCCAAATAAATTTGTTATTCTTTTCTTGTCCTTATGAAGACAAATTCAACAGTAATAACACCAACAAAAGGCAGAAGCTTGCTCAAGACTTTCTCAACTCCATTGACCAGACTGGAGAGCTCTTAGCCATTTTTGAAGATGATGAGATTGATGATGTCAAGCAAGAGCGAATGGAGGTAATTCTTTCCTTTCACTGGTACCCAACTCCAGCAGAGAAAGCTGTGAAATATTTCATACATCATGCTGGTCTGATGCTTTTTTCATGCTGCATATTAAATCACTGGTACATGTTTTTTCCCTTTTGCCCAGATGGTGCAAAGGAATCCTATTTCCATATTTTTCCTATTCCTTCAAATGTTTCCTGATATCTAAGCACACATGCTGAGAAGGAAGATTAAGAAAGGGTAGTTATGGATCTTTATGTCTGCCGCGTATTTGTATTTCCTTCCTGTAGAAAGCAGATTCTATTTATAAACATTTCACAAACATTTTTCACAATAATTTTTTTTCTTTTGCATTATTCCTCTCGTTAGAAAATTGTTCAATAGCTTTTGAGGACTCCTTTCACTTAACACAGCTGAAATTAAAATATTCTGTGCAAACATGCTTCAGTTTAAGCTCCACTCTCCGTCCTTTCAAGTCCTATTTTCTGATCTATGTAGTTATGAAAAGTTTTGTCTACGTTACATTATGCAGCCCCACATCACTCTCATAAAGCTCAGTGGAATCAAGAAGCAGCATAGCTGTGGTAGCACGGAAGTCTGTGGTTTTGGCCAAATTTTCTGTAGATGGACAGGACTGCCCTGTCTTTTTGGTAGTTTTGTCTGTCACCCTGGTTCATGTTTAATTGCTCAATTCCTTCTCGTGTCTTCTGTGAGCAACTACATGTCAAGGGCAAAACTGTGCTGGGAGCACACTCACAGTTCCAGACTAACATTTAAGCCACTTTTCATCCGTTTTTAGCAGCAATATAGTATACATGGCTGTTGGAAATTCATTATTTGTAGAGTACTTTTTATACCCTTTCAGTGGGTGCATTAGTTGATTTTTTCTGTGCTGAGGTGGCTCATGTGTTTGGGAGTATTTGTGTGTTTAATATTTGACTATTAGGGCCTCATTTCACTTTAGGGTTTCATGGAAAATTCTAGGAAATAATGAGGTTTTTATCCTGCTCAAGTTGTAATTCTACATTTTTTCTTCTTAATGGGGCCTCTTTTCAGAACTGCGACATTTTCCCAATCTCGTTTCCTCTTCTTTCTCCCCTCTAATGGGAAGAAATCAAAAACTGTTGAAGAACCCCTTCCCTCTAAGAATTTGGCAAGGAACGAGTCCCATTTCCCCCCAGCTGAGAATTAGTGTCGTCAAACAGTTGTTCCCAACCACTGTTTGTGTTTTGGAAACCGATGGTTTCTTTTCTTTAATTTCTTACTTATTTATTTATGCAAAATGTTATGTTTTGCATAAAGCCAAAAAGCAGGCAGATCCTTTGAGCTTGTACAGCATTCTTCTGAATGAATGGGTTATGTGCTTGGCTTCACATTCTCTTCTGTCATTCTGGTACAGTATTTTTCTGGTCTAAAAAACTACACAATTTGATAAAAGTATGAAGTTCTCTGTTCTAGGCAAGGGCAAACCTATGTTTGTCTGTCAAGGAATGTGTGTCTGTAATCAGATATTTGTCTTTCATCTGACTACACGTGTTTTGTTTTTTATCACTAGGCTGTAATTCATTAATTGTAATGTGTGTGTATATACATTATATATCTCTCAAGTAATTCTTCTCCCTATTGCTTGACTTTATTACATTTTATGAACTTTTGATGTTTCCATATTAAAAAAAAGAAGAAAAAAACAAAAGAAAAATCAAGATCTTATTTTAGAATAGATTCATGTAGCTAGTACTATGTATTTTCTTTCTTATTGACAAATGACAAAACATGAAACACTGTTTGAAACCTGCTACTCACAATATTTAATGTATTTTTGGCTTTGTTTCATTTGGGATTTTATTGTCACTTTGAGGTAGGTAGGAAGGAATCAAAGATAGTAGGAAATGTAATCCATTCCTAAAGGAAGAATTGTTAGTGGATGGGGTAATCTCCTGAATATCATTTGCTTTGTGCAGTAGATTGTTTAATCCATGCTAAGTTTTGAAGGAAATCCAGTGGACACTTTACCAGTGTTCTTTGAGGAATTAGGATACTTAAATCATGAACTGCACTCTAAAGGCAGTATTCCTTTTAGGTATCAATTACCTCAGAAATGTGTGGTTATCTTGGTTTGGACAACTGTAAATGATTTCAGTTCCACTTTGCCTTAGGCCAAAATCATGCTGAGTTGTCCAGAGCAGATGATAAACATGTATTTCTGATGTCATTATGGGCTAAACAGGATATGATTGTTTAGCAGTATGGTTTCAGTTATGACACAAAATGAAAATATTGTTTATGCTAATTTCTTTTAAGACATTTCATAAAATTAGAGCTAAGCCTTCATATGATTGCTTGCAGTGCTGTGAGGTCTATTCCATATTTGTACCACGGAGGAGTAGGCAAAGCTTTGCTGAAAACATTACTAAAGGAGAACAAACAATTCTATACTTCTTTGACTAAAACACACCCACCAATGCTGTCATATTAGTAAGAAAGGGCACTCTTCTGGGATTGTATATAGAACTTACTGGTATATCCTGTGATTTTAATTTGAAGCAAAGGGACTGTCTGTGAAACAGTAATACCGATAATGTGCAAAGGAACCTGGACTACTCTTAAAAATACAGGACAGAATTTAAGAACAAAATTCACGTTACTTGTCATAACATGTGATTATGTGATCAATACATTGCAATTAGATGACTTACTGTAAAAATAATAGCATTAAAATGGTGGCAGATCAACCAACTGTAATGGCAAAATCAAAACAAAAGAAAAACTGTACTAGCACCTCTGTCTCACCCTGTAACAGTTACTATTTTGCCCTCCTGAGGCAGAAGTAAAGCACTAGTGAAACACTTCTCTGAGTTAAGAACAGTTATAGAGGGAATAAACAATTCTCAGTCATAGCTGTAATTGAACTGTGCACATGAAGGAGAGATGGATCATAGAACTTGTCTTTATAATGGGTGACAGTCCCTTGAGAATAACACCAGAATGGCAGTGTACCCACACTCCTCTTTTACTGTACAGGTTGGAATAGCCAGAGCTGATGGTGCTTGGGAATTCTCTCCCTTTGCCTGTTCCGTGGCAGAATCCACAATAAACAAAACCTTGCAAGTGGATTGCAGTTTGGCTTTCCTCTTTCTCTTAAAAATCATCTAGAGAGGAGAGTTATATTCCTGTGGGATATGGCTGAATGGGTGTGGGAAGAAGGCACATGTTCATTTTAAATCTTCGAACTTCTCCTTGTTTGCAGTTCAGGTAGAGATACAATAGCTGAACCAATTGCAGGTTTGGCTGCTATTTCGTGAATTGTAGCTCCAGTTCTCCTGTTTTTTTCTGTTAGAACCACTATCAAACTCTGCATTTCATGTCGATAAAATCAAGTGTAGCTGCTTTAAAACTTCAGTCAACATAATTGCAAAGCTGAATTCTCACTAATAGTGTAAAGACCCAATTTTTTATCGTTTGTTTTATAGCTCCAGTACCTCTCCCCCAGGAAGAAAAAGTTTTGCCATCAGAAACCTGGACTGACACAAAGGAATGCATAGAAGCATCACGCTGTGAATGCTCTGTTTCACTTTTGTTCCCACAGGACTAGGAGAAACACCATTCATCTGTCACTCTGACTGCTAGTTCAGGGATATATTTCCAACACTCACATGTTAAATGGCAATAATTCAGTTGCAGTAGCTACCATAATGCTTTCATAGTACATTGCAAGTTTGAATAAACAGTGGAGGGAAAATAACTTCCCTACAAGAATAGACTACCTTGAAAGCAGGCTGGAAGCCAGCAAAAGTTATCCCTACTTTGTGGTTCTTTTGTGGGGGTTGAAACTAGATGATTGTTAAGGTCCTTTCTAGCCCAAACTATCCTGTGATTCTACGATTTGTGTATTTTCTTATGAATTACACTATATATTTAAAAACTACAGATACATATTTTTATTCTAGGAAGTTCATTATAGATGTACTTTTTCCAGTGCTGCTTACATATCTTCTCTTGGTGGGAAATCTGTACAAAGCTCACAGCAATGCAATAAACTCTGTACAAAATACAGTAGCTTGCATTAAAGTGTAGGTGTGTTTGGAATATGTAGGTTTTTACATTACTTTGAATTACTTCCATTTAATTTTGTCTTTCTTCAGACACAGTTAATTTGTGTCCAGGCAAGACACTTAAACACATCTGACTGCACCTTGGGGTACAAGGAATTGTGCTCTGGAAGTTAACTCTGGTTAAGTCATAGAAATAAGGTGGAAGTAGTAGTAAATTAGGCAGTGGCCAGGAACAGACCTTCCTGCTGGAGTAACATCATCTGCTTTAGACTGATCGCACTTTGACTTGTGCCAGGTTATGTTGTCCCAAACAGTGTGCACCTCTGGGACCCTCAGCACAGGAAAGACATGGACTTGTTGGAGCAGTTCCAGAGGAGGCCACAAAGGGAAAGGCTGGAGCACCTCTGCTATGAAGACAGGCTGAGAGAATTGGGGGTGTTCAGCCTGGAGAAGAGAAGGATCCAGAGAGACTTTAGAGCACTTCCCGATGCCTAAAGGGCCTCTGGGAGAGCTTGAGAGGGACTTTGGACAAGGGCCTGGAGTGACAGGACAAGGGGGAATGGCTTCAAACTGACAGAGGGTCAATTTAGATTAGCTGTAAAGATGATGTTTTTTACAGTGAGGGTGGTGAGGCACTGGCGCAGGTTTTCCAGCGGGATGGTGGATGCCCCACCTCTGGAAACATTCAAAGTGAGGTTGGACAGGACTTTGATCAGCCTGATCTGGTTGAAGATGTTCCTGCTTGTTGCAGGGAGGATGGACTAGGTGGCCTTTAAAGGTCCCTTCCAACCCAAAACATTCTATCACTCCATGAACTCCTGGGAGCCAGCAGAGCCAGGAGCTCTCTCAGCTGCAAAGTTTGGGTGTGGCCACTCTCTTTGGGATTCCTGGAGAGCATTAGCATGGACACAGGTTGCTCTGTGGTGACTGCCCTCAGACTGAGGGCATGGACCTCGGGTC